TTTTTTGGTCCAGTGATTAAGATGAGTCTGAAAAAGGAGGAGGCTGAACTTTGATTGCAGACCCAGAATGATGCTTAAGAGCCAGCCTGTTTTGTCATAGTTAACATTTCCCCCTGTCTTGTGATTAGCACTTGGGTTCTGCATATGTTAATGCTGTTTGTTCTTGGTATATTTTAGAAAGAATAATTTGGAGCATGTAACTCATAGGAAGGTTGACATCTGTTTCTGGTGTGAATTTAAAACCTACAGAAAGTGGAATTCTGCAGAAATGTACTGGCTTCTGTTTCCACCTCTTTAGTGTGAAGGGCTTTGTGGGCACATTATATATATATAATGTATTTACAGTCTACATGATAAATTGATCATGATCTCCCATGTAAGTTTGTAAGTAAGGTTTTTGTTTTGTAAAAGTTCCCCCAGTCGATTTGAGTCATCACTGCCAGTTGTAAAACCTTGTAATATAATAAGAGGGGAGGGAGGGCAGTTAGGGACAGCTTAATGAACCAACCTGAGGTTGAATTTTGTGGAGGGATTTTTTTTCTTTCATTTTTTAATAAAACCTTGAACAATGTTCAAAATTTGTCTTTGTCTTTCTTCACCCTCCAGTTGCCTGCACTTAAGCTATAAAAGAGTGATTAGTTAAGCGTGCTGTGCAAATTGGGTAGGAGCCAATGTAAGAGTGTATGTTGGCAGTAAGTTTGGGTCGTGGTAAAGGTGTGAAAGCACCACAGTCACAACAAGCAGGAGAGGTTTTCCCTTTCTCTCTATGAAAGAAGCTTATTTTTGTCTTAACCATTTCTTTTCCCCTGTGTCTTGTGTATCTGCAAGTGTTTCCCCCCCTTACCCAAATTGTGGATTGAGAGAGAGGGGGGTGCTCCTTTCATTCTTTTAATTACAGGCACTGGTGTTTTGCTTGGAGCTCTCAGGTGGCACCAGGTAATTATACTTGTACCTCATGCCTTTTGCTCCAGTCGGTCTGGCCCCCACAACTTTCCACTGAGGAGGAGAGGGGACCCTGAAAGGTGAGACGTGGAACAAGAGGACCTTCTGTGGAAGGCCAGATGATGGAAGAAGGACAGCTTTGGAAAGCTGGAACTTTGGGGAACGAGAAGACGTTCAGTGATGGGGGACGTTAACAGACCCTGTCTGTTTGAGGTGGATAGATGGAAGGAAAAAAGGGAGAAAATAGACAAATCAGGTTCAGACGCACTGAAGAGGGAAAGTTTTTAAGTTTTCTTTTTATTATTATTTTAACTATTGATTGCTGTTGTGAACATCCACTGCTTTGTTTTAAAGTGGGCAAGATTTCATTTCACACGTTAATCCAGTTCAGCAGACAGATGGAAAGTTAAGGATGGAAATTCTGTCATAAATGCATTGCTGATGTATAGGTATGGTTTATATAATGTTAGTAACTATTCCGTAAAAATGTTATCACAGATAAGGTTTCTCATTTACACCTATTCTATGTAGATCTGCATTTGTTGTGTCACATTTCCTGAAAATAAGGGTGTAGGAAAGAAAAGAATGTCATGTGGAAATATATCATTCTCACTTAGAATCAATGGTAGTGTATTGTTTAAGTCTGTTTATAAAATGTATAGTTTTTTTTCTTAAACCATGATAAAATCACTAACCCATGCTTTCTTGTGGCTTATTGCTTTAATAATAGCAGTTGGTTCTTTCTTCTGTCTTTGAGCTCTGAACCACATTATACAGTGCCTTCATGAAATTAGCAAAACTTAAAATATACAAAAAGTAAATATAAAAAGTATAATTAATGCTTTACATTAAGGGTCCTTTAAGTGAAATCATTTAACATAAACTTAAGTCCACAGTGACCAGTATGAACCAACACCCTAATTAACACCATGTTTGCAGTTAACTGGCAAAAATCAGAACTGAGAATGAATAGCAAGTAGCAAGTATTTACACCAGGAGACCAGAGTTGAGTAACTTGTAAGCATTTAGGAACATGCTGTAGTGAAATTTTGCTAAATGATGTGTTTGTGTGTATTTTAGTAACGGATTGAAGAAACAGTCAGGTGTGTTTAGTTAACATTTAAACAAATATCAATTAATATGTGAATTAATGCATTACAATACTTTGCTTACATGAATTATGGTTTATTAATGCTGGTGTTTATTGTTTGGTAATGTTAACTAATTCAGTAAATTATGCTGGTTAAGGGAATAATAACGTAAAGCATTACCAAAGAATAACACAATGCAACAAGTGATATATTGAGTATATTGAGCTAGAAAATATATATATATATATCCTGTGTGTTTGGGTAGTTTGGGTAAATGAATGAAAGTTTGTGATAATAGACAGTAACTCTATCCACACACACACACACACACACCTCATTAAGCCATTAAAAATAAGGGCAGAAGCAGCTGTCCAGCAGGAGTTCCTGGAAAAGGGAGGATATCTTACAGAGGTGTAAGCCTGTGTAACTGAGACCTTTTGCTGTGTGTGTGTTTGTGTGTGGGTGTGTGTGAGAGTAAGGGGAAGTCAGTTTGAAATGTTTATGTGCTCATAAATGTATTGGTTTGCATATGGTAATGCATTGTTTCTGTGTATAATTACTTCATTGCATGCACATAAATACCACGAGCATGCAGGCTCATGTGTTGTGAGTGTATTTGCATGAGCATGAATAGGTATGTGTTGAGTAATGCTGGGTGCGTGTGTGTATTTCTATGCGTGCACTTGCTCTAATAGGGAACAGTAAGAAGTCAGCCGGCTCATAAAGGACTCTTTGAATGGCAGGCAGTGTGTGTGGAGGGCGCTGTAATCCATTACAGATGTGGAGGTAATTATATCCAGTCAGGTCTGATGGCGACAGAAGCCACGGCCTGGGCACTGACGTCTAAGGGCTTGTCCATAGCCTCTGCATTTACCACAGATGCACCTCTTTATTTCTCTTTAATTTATATTTTCATATAATCTTTTTCCAGTTTTTTTTCCAGCTCACTGGTGCATTTTAACATTGAACACATGTATATTAAGGTTCAGCCATCCAGGTCGTATTGAATGTCTTGTAGGACATATTTTGAACATCTGGACTTGTCTTTTAATCTTGAAGATGTTCCAGTTGACCTGATGAAGCTCTGTGACTGTATCTATTCAAGATTATAACACAGGTCCAGTTGCCTTGACCTACTACTAATCGTATCTATTCCAGGAACAAATCTATCATTGCATCTTAACATACCACACAGTGTCACTCACCAGCCTTGTAATTCAAAAATGACAGGAAAAATGAACTCCATCTCTTGCACTAATATGGCACACTTCCTCTTAGTGGAATTATAGCAGCTTTTCCCAGTCCCTTATAGCCCTGTGGTAGACCGATTGGGCTGTGGTTCTCCGTCTGAACTGGGCGATTGAGAACTGACACGACACAGTGTGTGTGTACCCAATCTGCACCATTCCAACCACACGGTTCTCTTACACAGAGCATCTCCTTTCACAAGACATGGAAAAGCTCTGACTTCAAATTCCACAGGACGAGGGCTAAATAGCGTGAAAGGTGGTGATGTATGGGCCCCTGAATTGCAACTCTGTTTAAAGAAAGGCCCTTCAGTAACTGAATGTTTATTTAACCTTGCAAATTATTAAAAAAAATCCAAATAGGAATGGTATGCTTAAAAAAGGCCTATAAGGTTAATCTAGTGTGATAGTATAAATATTGAAAGTTGTGTGATGGTAATGGTCTATATAATGAATTAGATTACTGTAGAGCCCAATTAACACTGAGGTTTGGGATATGTTTATGCAGGAGGGGATTCTTGATTGATTTATCCTCAGATGGACGTGGTGAGAGAAAGAGAGCGAAGAGACAAAGGCTTTCTGTGTTGAACTCGGAGGTGTTCCACGCGACTGAGGAAGGCAAAGCAAACAGAACCGGAGGAGAGGAGAAGAGGAGGAGCCCAGGAGAGATTTCACACCCTCAGCAACTCTATTGTGACCTGAACCACAACGGGTACACACATACACATAAACTCTTCCCATAATCTACTCCAAAACTCAGTCGTCACTCACTGGAGAGTGAAAACAAAGCAGGCCTTCACTGGCTTTACTTTCAATTTTAATTAAAGGACAGCACCTAAAACTGAATTGGTTCTGATGACCTCTAGTACTCTCAAACCCATCCATCTGAAAACAGACATTTACACACTCTCTCACTTTCACCCACATACACACAAAACTCCGTGGATGCGACCAGTGGGCGCTGGTGTGAGAATGAATATCCAAGCATGGTTTCGGCTTCTGTAAGTGAATACGACCTCTTGTCCAATCTGATGGATTAACAGCAATCCAGGCAAAACACACAGATAGAGTTCCATCTCCCTCCCTCTCTCTCTCTCTCTCTCTCTCTCTCTCTTGACAACATGCCTCTCTTTTGATTTGTTGTCTGATATATACTTACTTCCTTTCTCTTTTATTTTATTCTTGTATGTAAACAGGCTGCTTTATGTTTTCCTTCTCTCTCTCTCTCTCATTCTCTCTCTCACACACACACACACACACACACACACACACACACACACACACACACACACACGCACGCACCACTAGTCCAAGGTTTGCTTTATGACACACTCAGAATCCATCTCTTGTCCTGCTGAGGGCTTCATCTAAGAGCCTTCCCAGCATAGCATACTACATTTCATTCCCTTTATGCACACACAATTTCAGATTATTTGGCTATTTAGGTGTCAATCTTCAAACTCTGTCATTATTTATGATATCTCACTCTTTCATTTACTCAATTACCCATGCACTCTTCACACATTTATGTAATTACCTGAAGTATATTTACTTCTCTGTCTTTCTTGCTGGCTTTTGTTTATTGCTCTCGTTCATTCATTCATCTTAAGTCAGGGTTGTGGTAGATCTGGAGCCAATCCCAGGAACCCTGGAAGCAGCACAGAAACATATTAGATAGGATTCACTCATTTGTGCAATCTACTGAAAGAAAAAGCCTAGGTCCCTTGAGGACTAGTGGTTAGGCCTCGGTGCTCTCACTGCTGCGGCCCGGGTTTGACTCCTGGCCAGGGAGCCAACCCCATATTAATACCCATGGTTTTGGAATGGGAGGTTCAACAAGCAAATACGAGTATGATGGTCAGGTGTCCACATACTTTTGGCCATATAATGTAAACTTAACTTGGGAAGATGTGTTATATAGTGGACATTAGATTTTCCTGCTTGTGTTAGTCTGTTTATTGTGAAATCTGACTTAATCTGGGTTCTGGCTATCATTAATGGCCCCCTAATGCTGACAAGACCCCTTGTGTCTTTACGAGTGCCTGTGTTCGGCCGTAAACAGAGCCAGATGTGTGAAACAAAGCAAACATAGCTCATAAAAGACTCCACGAAAGGTGTAATTAATGTGTAACAGCGAGTCATGTCCGGCTAAACACCGTGAATCGCGACAGGAGAGGACTCCGCTCTCATGCAGGGCCGCTCTGGGAATCAGGAAAATGGTGGGAAAAAAGTGTGCATGCTGCACCACTTAGCAGCATATAAAACACTGCTGGAAAAAAAACATCCTGGGCAGAGCTGGTGTTACAATGCATGCAAAGCATGTTTGCTTCCCTCACATAACTGCCTCCAACTTTATGTTCCAGCTCATCATAATGCCTGTAGTAGTTACATTTATGGGTTTAATATTAGAGACCAGCCCTCACAGAAGTGAAATTCAGAGTTAAAGAAACATTAGCACTAGCTTGATTTTTAAATAAGCTAGGATGTCGGAGGACATAACCTATTGGCACCAAACAAAAGCAGCAGTGTGTTCCTGTGTCTTTTCCCAGCTGGTTTTCTTTAGAGCTGAACTATGTGCTGTACAATAATCAGTCTGTGTCAACACCCCTGACAGGGGAAAAAAAGCCTTAATTCACGTCAGAGGAAAACGGTTGGGCAAATAATTTCACTCTTAAGCTGCAGTGTTGTGGAGTTGAAATGTTAACAGGAAAAGTGGTATGTTAATTGCAACACTCTGCAACTGTACGGTATAGAATGTAGAGCATTATGTTTTTAAAGGTAGATATAAAGCAGGCATGGAGAACATGATGGTAATGGGTGTGATATTTGAAGACGTGCAAGGTGAAGGATTATGTGAGCTGTTGAGAGATAGAAACTGAATTGCTCATTTATTTCCTTTGGAAAAAAAAAGTAGTCTGAAAGTGAATCAAATCCAAGTAGAAAGACAGGAGATCCCTGCACGAAGGATGTTCCATAAAAGATTTCCCTAAGCACTCCAGGATGTCCTCATTTTCCTTGAGAGGTAAATCTGGAAAGGAAACCCCTGAAACTCAATATTCTTCACTTTCATAACTAGGAAGAAATACACACTGGACAGGATGGCATGCACACACACACATTTAAAACCTGGGGGCAACTTAGCATAGCCAATCCACCTACTGATGTTTTGGGAGGTGGGAGGAACCTGGAGAACCCTGAGGAAACCAATGCGAACACAGGGAGTACATTCACAGAAAATCCAGACAGTAACCTGTGGTCAGACTCGAACTGGGGACCCTGGAACAAACAAACACACAGACACACACACACACACCAAAAAAAAAAAAAAAACACGCTTTCAATCTTCACTTCCAAATGCTGGCCAGTTTGGGGTCAAAAGGGTAGAGAGAGAATACCAAGAGGAAATCTGAGGGTTAACTTCATTATCGAGTTCTCTTAAAGCATTATCTACGCCTCTACACAGCCCTTACAATACAACAGAGAGAGAGAGAGAGAGAAGAGAGAAGAGTGGGAGGGCGTGAAAGGGAAAGAATGAAGAAAGAACAAAAAGGGCATAAAAGTCTTACCTTTCTCAAGATCTATACAAAGACCATGCTTGTGAATAAAACCCAGTATGGAGATAATCTGCAGCCATTATGCTTCTCTGCTATTCACTTTGTACATGTGCTTAATCACACTGCAGTTCTTTGAACTACATTTTCTCAGAGTGTAAATTATACAAGGACTTTTGCTGGGTACAGCTAACTAGCTATACAGTTGTGAAATTCTACTCAGCTAGCTTTTAGTAAACATTAAAGAAAGACCCTTTTGTAGTAATGTCAGTAACAAGATGTCATGGGGCACAAAAATAGCTTAGCTATAAATAAGAGCTCAATAGACCATGCTAGAGTTAGCTAAGAGCTAGCTGACAAATCGATGGCTCTTAGCAAGATAAGTGAACTAGCTAATGTTATTAAATAGCTAGTCCCATCTACTCAAGCTGTTGCACACATAAGCTAGTGTGGTAAATTAAAACATAAGGCAGTTAACACAGTCCTGTTTAAAATACAAGATTAAGCTAGCTAGCTAACTCCGAAAAAGTCACATGCTAAAGAAAATGTAAGTATTGGTACAAGATGTTGTAGGCCAAATATAATTTAGCATTTTTATTATTATTATTATTGAGTGTGATTTTTTGCATTCTGCATTAATCATTTAAGGTCATAAATAAGACACTTAAAGCATTTAAAAAGACAAATCAGAGTTCATATGTTTCTGTGGCCATGTACTGATTCTAGGGCTGCGACTTAGCTACTGTGTTTTGAAGCTGACTTCTATTAGGAAAGTAAAATGTAGCAAAAATATCTAAAAGTACAAATTACTTTAAAGGGAAGAAGAATTTAGGATCAAATGATCAATCGACAGGGCTTTTATGACGGTTTGATGAGGGTTTCAGTAGCTGACTCTTTGTCAGGCTTTTGGGAAAAATGGTGCAAAATTCTGGGCTGATTTGCAGGAAATAAATAACAATCATATTTCCATGGAAAAGAAACAGAATATCAAGCAATTATGTGTTTTCCTAAATTTCTTTGACTGATTTCACTAACGATGCTATCACTTCCTAGAATCCATTGCTTTGCCTTTTATTTGCCTTGGCTCGTCTTTGAATTCTTTGCTTTCATTTAACCGCTGATACGCTTCCTCTGTGCATTAGCGGATTGCAGAAGTACCTCGGAGTAACTGTGAGTTTGTTGCTTGTTGCATGCACATGCACTTATATCCAAGCCTGATTTGAAATAGCATCCTTTGAACTTCGTTAAACAGGAGAAGGAAAAAAAAAAAGATGAAAGTGGCATCATCAAGCATGGTGCTCTCTTTCTCTCTGTGTCTCTCTTTGGAACACAGAGAATATTTTAGCATTCTCAGGAGACAAGCTCATAGAGTATGAGACAGTCAGAGAGAGAAAGCAGAGAGAGAGAGATGTGCCAGCTCTCTTTTAGAGTACGAGTCCCAGGGGGTTACTCTTTATGACAGAGCGTGAGGTGAGAAAATTCCGGACTGGCTGCTGAATGAGGGCAAGTCATTGCCCAGACTACACTGGACAAGACTGATTTCAGATCAGTTATTTTCTGGCCATGCTGTCCTCTCAGAAAAGTGTGTATATGGAAACCAGAAAGAGAGAGTGCAACAGGGTGTGTGATTATTAAATAGGCACCAATAGACATTACAGGCTTGAAGAGGCCTAGATCAAGGAAGGTGTATTGTGGAAAAAGGGCGATTATCACCCTCTTTCTTCATTTCACTCGCCTTCTCCATGTTTCTAAAAGCAGGCCATGACGCCACATCGTTCATCGCTCTTTGTTGTTGTTTTTCCACTCTCTTTTTTCTCCTGATCCTTTGCAATCTCATTCTCTCTCTCTAGAGAGAAGGAGCGAGGGAGAGATTGCAAGGGATCAGTAGACGAAAGAGAGAAAGAAAGAGACATCAGTGAGGCAGATTAGAGAGGTGGGCTGCCTAGCAACAGACATCAAAATTGGTTAGAAATCTCTGTGACCTACATAACAGCATGCCTGTGATGGTGTGGCATGACAAGCCTGCGATGAAAGGCCTCGACGAGCTCCTGTCACTTTGCTGCTCCAGAAAACGTCTACCATCATGATGCGTGAGCGCTGCTTCGAAATACAGAAGGAGGGGGGTTAAAGCTGTTCGATGCTCTGGACGAAGAGCAACAAAGCTGCTAGATTTGGATCGGCACACAAACAGACACTTCAGAGCAAGCTTGAGTGACAAATGCAAGACTAGACTGACTCTATTTCACATCAAGACACAGACACACTTGATTTATGTTTTGTATAATTTCCAAGACTGGACAAAGGAATCAAATAAACTTGTCGACATGTTTTCTGAACCATCATCACTAAATCTGTCAGATCCAGTAAGTCTGGAGAGCATGCTGAACATGGCGAACACGCTCCATTAGCTCTCACAAATCACAAGGCATTAAAAATCACACATAGACTGTACTGTGGATTTGGGATTGTTATCTACCCAAACTACCTGCAGCCAAAGCAGATTTGGGGTCTAACAGTGGCTTTGGAAATGCAGCATGAATGTCAGCGCTGCTGGATGCTGCCTCCACTGTTGCCCTTAACTACACAACATAAAGGTTATGAATGGGTTAGAATAAAACAAGAACAGTGGTTATATACAGAACGCCAGAGGTGTGACATGTCATGGACAGTTCAACCCCGCTTACCCCCAAAATTACAATAGTTTATTTTGTGTTGGGTTTTTTCTTCTGGGCACTAACTGTTCATGAACTCACACAATGGCTTCACTGTTCCAAAATTGCAGAATATTCTGGATTCTGGGCGGCTTTTGTGTTATTCCGAGAATTTCAGTGTTTGTTTTAAAAATATTATATTTTCATGCATAGTTTCCTGCCATGCATAGACCACCGTTTTTTTTTTGTCTGCCTTTCCACCTCAGGCAATTTTAGCTCTGGACATAGCTACCCAATTTCACACCAAGGCTTTCAACTGGCTCCTTAAAGACTGAGTTTAACTTGATGCATTCATTTGTGCTGACTTCAAGATATGTGAGTGAAGCGCTATAGTTACTGCCATTGTATGTGTGTATATATCAGTGAGATCAGAGGAGGGGTTGATTTTTAATCTGAGCGTGTGTTGGCTTTTCTAGTATCCAGGTTTGAGGTTGTTTGTGTGTTAGCTTATGTGTTAATGTATATGTAATGTAGATTTTATTTCCTAAAAAAAGTTAAAGGGAAAAAAATTGCATACACACTATATACAT